GACTTTTGAGTCTCTCAGAACTTAACTGCTGTTGTCTGGGAGACTTACCCATAATATAAACAGTGATTAACACATATTTTGTGTCTTTTATGTACTATATGCTGTATTCTTACCATAAAGTAAGCTGGGAAAGAAAATGTTATAAGAAAATCATAAGGAAGAGAAAATACATTTACAGTATTTATTGGGGGAAAAAAGCCATGTGCACCTGAGTCTGTGTGGTTCAAACCCACCTTGTTCAGTGGTCAGTGCTCATTGCAAGACAGTAACTTTCTAAAATACCTGCAATAACCTGACTGCAGTGTTTAGATAATATTGATCCTTAATAAACCTTTGCTGATTAACTGCTGTAAATAAGGTGTCGTATCGAATATGTGTTGTGTCTAGTATTTCTAGAATGTTCTTACAGGGTCACAGACCATTATTGAGAAAGATAAACAATGAAATTACATTGCATGCGGTGTATGGGATGATTACAAAGGTAAAAACAAGAGTTAGGTAAAGCCCTGTCCATCCTCGATCGCCCCTAATGCAGCATCACCCTAGAAACGGATTTTTCTAGGTGTCCTATGACTCTGGTCATGAGAGAGATGCGTTTCCCTGATACTGAAGTCATAGCTAACATTTTTCTTTGCTGTATTAAGCTCTTCAGCCTTTATCATATTTATGCAGCCGAATTTCCCACATTTATGTTACCTCCTTAGAGTTACCCCCAGCACCCAGTGTGCATTGTAATCTGGGAATGGACCATGGTACCTAGAGTTGCCAGAAGGTGTGAAATTCCTGCAAAGTGGCCTAATTTCACCATCACCTATATATTAAGCGTGGATGGGAAGAACACATCTTTTTCTTGGGTTGATCTGGATTAATTTTCTCCTGTTCTGAATTTCCATGACACTCTTGTTTGTTTTTTTCATATACTTAAATAGTGTTACAGGGTTTTGCCTAATATGTGACGTTTTCATTAGTAATTGTAAGCATATACTTTTCAAAGTTATTTCAGCATTTCAATGGAGTTTTTTCGCTCAGGACAACTAAGTTTATACAAATAGCGTGTAGAGCATAGTGTAGACACTTCCCTTTAGCTGATCGAGTGCACCGAGTTACAAAAATAACAGTAAAAACGGACGGATAACGGACTTCACTTTTATCATGGAAAATCCCCAGGCCTGTCTATGAGCTGGACATCTCTAGAGGGACACCAGCTCCGTTAGTAACCCAGGAAATAATTACCACGTGGGCAACACCTCTGAGAACAAAAGAAATGTCAGATCCTGTAGCTCAGGTTCACGGCCAATCGTCGCTGCGATCTTTTTGCTTTTATTTTTTTTAAATATGTTTTTATTGGTATTTTTTTTTAGAGAGGGAGGAAGGGATGGGGAGAGAGAGAGAGAAACATCGATGAGAGAAAGACATCATCGATCGGCTGCCTCCTGCCGGCCCTGCTGGGGATCGAGCCCACAACCCAGGCGTGCGTCCTGACCGGGAATCGAACCGGCGACCTCCCGGTTCACGGGTCCCGGTCAGCCACTGCGCACGCGGGCCGGGCCGTGCCTGCGTTCTGCTCTGCGACGCGGACGAGCTGCTGGGCGCCCTGGTAACGCTCTTCTCCCCGTCTTGCTCCCAGCTCCCTGCGAGGGCAACACGTTCTTCTGCCACAGCAACATGTGCATCAACAGCTCGCTGGTGTGCAACGGGCTGCAGAACTGCGTGTACCCCTGGGACGAAAGCCACTGCAAAGGTAACCTCGGGCCTGGCCCCGCACATCCCGTCCTGGGGCAGGGCCGCGTGCCCGGGCCTGTGCTTCAGGCGCTCTCGCGGACGGCGTGCAGAGGGCCTCTGTCCCCCCCGGGTGTTTCACCATCGATCGGGAGCCTTGTCCTTTGCCTTCCCCGGTGCCGCCCCCAGAAGATTGTCGCTCGTAACGCACAGGGCACGCTCGGAGCCCTGGAAGGCCCATGGAGGCCCAGAGCCCCCGGGGCCAGGGCCAGGCACCTGGGCTTAGAGAGCAGTGTGGGGCTTCCTGTCGGACCCGGTGCCCTCCCTCTGGGTGGCACCTGTCACCTGCCACTATTCCCATTCACCCTCATTGACTGAGGGCCGCATACTCTACTGATACAGTGTAGGGAAGGCGCGTCTGTGGGTTCAGTTACCCCCAGCCCCTTGAACTTAACTTCGTGGGCAGAAGCAGAGAGGTGACCCCCCAGCAGCCGTGGTTCCCACGGTCAGTAAGGGAGGTGACCCTCCAGCAGCCGTGGTTCCCACGGTCAGTAAGGGAAGTGACCCTCCAGCAGCCGTGGTTCCCACGGTCAGTAAGGGAAGTGACCCTCCAGCAGCCGTGGTTCCCACGGTCAGTAAGGGAGGCGACCCCCCAGCAGCCGTGGTTCCCACGGTCAGTAAGGGAGGCGACCCCCCAGCAGCCGTGGTTCCCACGGTCAGTAAGGGAGGCGACCCCCCAGCAGCCGTGGTTCCCACGGTCAGTAAGGGAGGCGACCCCCCAGCAGCCGTGGTTCCCACGGCCAGTAAGGGAGGCGACCCCCCAGCAGCCGTGGTTCCCACGGTCAGTAAGGGAGGCGACCCCCCAGCAGCCGTGGTTCCCACGGTCAGTAAGGGAGGCGACCCCCCAGCAGCCGTGGTTCCCACGGCCAGTAAGGGAGGCGACCCCCCAGCAGCCGTGGTTCCCACGGTCAGTAAGGGAGGCGACCCCCCAGCAGCCGTGGTTCCCACGGCCAGTAAGGGAGGCAGGCCCCGTATCAAGTATCTGGAGGGGGGATGTGGCCATGACCAGTTTTGTGTCCAGGAGCCACTTGGAACGGATGGGGAATTAAATATTTTGCAAAGACTCTTAATCCCGCCCTGTCATTTCCGTTGTCTCTGAGACTCCCGGAGGTTTGGGCATCTCCACCCTGACCCGAAAAGGGTACTTCTCAGGGGAAGCTGCAGCCTCCCTGTTCTCGTGGTCAGACTGTCTCTTGGGCAGAACTTCTGCACCAGGGCTCAGGATGAAGGGGACAGGGACAGGGGCCACCTGTCTGGGAGTCACACCCCTGCTCTGTGAGCAGGGCCCTGGGTGAGGGTGGCGACCTCTGGTCTTCTCAGCTGGCCCCTCCAGATGTTGCCCCTGTGAGTGAGCTGGGGCCCCACCGCCCAGCCCTCTGCACCCCGACCTGAGCCTCGGTGCCACCCCTGGGGCTGGGAGGAGGAGGGGAGCCCCAGACGCCAGACACCCCGGCCTGGAGTGGAGCATCTGCGACGGGGACGGGGCTGAGAAATGCTGGTGGCTCCCCCCAGGGAGGTGCTGTTGCTCCAGCTGGGAGCCGTGGGGAGAGGAAGCCGGGGTTGTCTGAAGTGTCCCCGGCAGAGCGTCGCTCATGACGACCTTGCGGGAGGGGAGCTTAAATGCCCCAGACTCTAACTGACCTTAAAGAAATTCAGGAGAGTTTTTCGAATAAACCTACCTCCATTTGCCGTAAGCCATTAGCCCAGTTTCACAGACTTTAACGTGTTGGGGTTTTTAGACATAATTCTCACCCATGATGGTGGTTTCGTTGGGGAAACGGCCCACAGACGCCTCCACGCCACCCTCCCAGAGACGTCTGCCCTGAAGTCTAATTACCTGTCGGGGTCAGGACATTGTCCCTGCTCTGAGCCCCGTTGCTCACGTCCGGCTGAGTCTGGAGGCTCTTACACCTTTGCGAGAAAAAATGTGCTGCTTTCAGATTGAGGGGTCAGCCCCGCTGCTGTGGCTCAGTTGGGTCAGCGGCGTCCTGCGCACCAAGAGGTCACCAGTCCGAGACCCGCTCAGGGCACATGCCCCGGTGGCCGGCTGGGTCCCAGATCACGGCGTGTGCAGGAGGCGGCCGATCGGTGTTTCTCTCTCGCGTGGATGTTTCTCTCTCTGTCTCCCTCTCCCTGCCTCTCTCTAAAAATCAATAAAAACACATTAAAAGAATACAATTAAGAGGCCACCCCCAGATGTCCCTCCCAAGGTCTAAGACCTTCTCCAGGCGTGTGTTTTCCTTAAGGCGGGATGTTGGCCGCGGGAGGGCTGTGTCTGAGGCCAGAAGATTCGGGCCTTGAGAAAAGTGCACATTTTTTGTTTATCAGGATCATTTCACGTTCCTTTAAACGTTTTTAATTTTTAAACATTCCGCGCTCGGCCCGTTTCACCTTCAAGCTGCCCTCGGACGCTGTGGCTGTCACGCTAACCCGTGGCGGGTGGTGTCTTTTTCCCTTTGCTATTCTCACGCTCCCGACCCGCAGAAAAGAGGAAAACCAGCCTGCTGGACCAGCTGACCAACACCAGCGGGACGGTCATCGGCGTCGCCTCCTGCGTCGTCATCCTCCTCCTGGTCGTCTCGGTCATCGTGCAGATCAAGCAGCCCCGCAAGAAGTACGTCCAGAGGAAGCCGGACTTGGACCAGACGGCCTTCCAGGAGGTGTTCGAGCCCCCGCACTACGAGCTGTGCACTCTGCGGGGGACGGGGGCCACGGCCGACTTCGGCGACGTGGCCGACGACTTCGACAGCTTCCACAAACCGCGGAGGCCCTCGTCCAAGTGCACCCACGACCATCACTGTGGATCCCAGCTGTCCAGCGCCAAGGGCAGCCGCTCCAACCTCAGCACAAGGGACGCGTCCGTCCTGGCCGAGCTGCCGCCGCCCGTCAAGGCCCTGGGCCCGCCCGCGAGCCGGAGGAACATCCTGGTCATGAAACACAGCTACGCGCAGGACGCCGCGGACGCCGGCGACATCGACGAGATCGAGGAGGTGCCCACCACCAGCCACCGGCTGTCGCGGCACGAGAAGGCCGTCCAGCGGTCAGTACCCGTGGGGTGTCTCGCGGCCACCGTGACCCGACGCTGAAATGCTTCCGCAGTGTTGAGCTCGGTTTTGTCTTCATTTTTCAGGGGTTTTTGTTTGTTTTTTTGGGGTTTTTTTTTTTTTCTAATGATTTAAACCAGCGTCTCCACGTTTTGCTCCTTTCTGCTGTTTCAGGGGTACCCGGGCTTTTCCGAAACCCCCATGGGCATGTGTGTGAGCACCCAGGCCAAAGATATTTTACTTATTTCTGCGCATAGCATATATTTCTGCAAAAATTAGATTTTAATTTATATACAGATTTACACTGCTGATTTGCTTCCACACAGTCACAAATGTTGTCCCAATCGATATTTTTATTTTTTAATCGATGAAATGATATTTGGGAACAATTGCCTTACCAAGGTGGTTCACCCAGCTTGCTAAATAATTTTAATGTAGAAATAGCATATTTTGCAGTAGCATGTGTTATATTTTTGGTGTGAAAACGAAAACACTTTTTTCCACATGTTCCGTGATGCTTATATGACACATGGCATAGGATGGCAAGGCGTGTAAACCATGAAATATTGATATCTAAATGTAGCGAAGATTAGTAGAAACACGTCACTCATTTTTCTTTTAGTATAAAGACAGTATGATCTGTATTGTACCATTGGCCCTACAGTTAATAACAATTTGGGGGGAAGAAAATTTAAATTTAAGGAAAAAATATTTTAAATTCCCAACTCCCATCTACTTATTTTTTTTTCTCTGCATGTTTACTAGCATTTGGTTTGTTTTCTAAACGTATCTTCTTTCTCAACTCACCCTACATCCTCAAAACCTAAAGCATTTTAGCCGACTTAATACTTTTGCATGCGGATGGCAGACATCTCTTTTCACAGTTTTAGGAATTTTTAGGAAGGCTGTTTAGTAGGCCTTTGTGTGCGTCCTTACGTTCCCTGCAAGCACGACTTAGTTGAATGAAACAGCCGTCACGTTGCAGGTTCTGCCTCGTCGGGTCGCTGAGCAAGCAGGAGTCCGAGTACAACACCACCAGGGTCTGACGGGGAGCCCCAGGTAAGCGCCGCGGCTCCGCCCGCGCTGCTGGTCCGTGTCTGTGCGGCTTGGCTGCGGCTGTGGGGCAGTGTCAGGGAAGGGGCCGCTCGCTCTCCATCTCACGAGACACGCGATTCCTAGCATCCCACGGGATGGTTTCAGCGCTGATGGGAAGACGCTTCTTAGTACCTGTGCCTTAAAAATAAATACCAGTGTTCTTACCATCAGGCATTGCACTGCGATGTGATTGGAAAGGATGTTCGGTTAAGATCCGTTTTACGGTAAAGATACCAAAACTGAGTGACCTCTTCAAAGAAATACGAGAAGAAATCCGAGATTTTCGTAAAAAGTTGAGTATGATCTCAATATCGCTGAAGTCGATCTATGAGATTGATAACAATTTATTAACTTAATTTGGCAGTATTTTACTCCAAGCACATGTACTAAGAATTTGGCGGTTCCCACGCAATTAGCGCCTCTATTTCTTAGTTCATGAGACTGAAACGCAGCAGGTTGTGTTGAACGCTTGGCGGTGTGAAACGTCTCATGAACGCCAGCTGTCCCCGTGTGCATCTGATCTGTCGCTGAGCCTCAGACGGCCTTGCTTTCAGCCCTTGATGGTCTGCGTCTATATTAGACGTGTCTGTCTCCAGTAAAATTCGCGTGACGGCTAGTCTCTTAAACACTCTTCCGACCTAGCAACTGTTCTTGAGTCGAGTGAATGCATTTCCACGCCCTGGGCGACCTTGATAAATGGGTGTATTTCTGTGCCTTTTTCACCGGGAGAAACTGTTTTCACTGTGTTTCATTTTCAGAGAAGAACTATTTATACAAACACGGGGACTGTGCAAAGGAAATTCTGTACTGACTTGTGGAAAGTGGACATGTTTCTAAACCCATTCCACTGCCTTTACCCAAACTTAAGAATTCCAGACATTTGTTATTTCTTCGGCAAGACATCCCCGCCGCACAATGACATGTCCATTTCGTAATTTGGTTGCTGGCCACCAAGTGCTCCTTAGTATCTAAATACATTTTGAGATTTTCTGGAAACTTGAAGAAGAAATCAGTTCCTGAATCAGACTCTCCCCACTTCACTTTTTCCCTCCCTCCCACTTTGTGTCTGTGTCGTTTTGCGTCTCTGTATATAATTGTACCTGTTGTGACGTGTGGGAAAACGCGATTTGGGGCGAACGTGGTGTTGCTGTTACCTGTGCGTTGTTTTCGTTATATAGACTGCTTGGGAATAGTGCGTTCCTGAGTGGGCCGGAACTCGCCACCGCCGAAATCGCAAACGCCGACCGTGGACGCAGCAGCCAGAGGTTTTCTGGACCATACACATCTGTTGTGTTAGGGTTAAGCGCGGCCAAAAGTAACGAGTAAGAAGACTAAATGGCAATAAGAAAAATCTCATTTTTTTGGTCTTTCCTCTGAACCCCCAACTTCCTTTATTTTGGTTTGTTTTATATCGAAGGAAAGCACCCAGTTTCAGAAATCGTTTTTGGCATCGGTATTTGACCATTTACACCCTTCAGTGGCGACGTTTTTGATTCAGCAGACTTAGCAATATGACTGGATTGACGGACCGTTTGAGAAAACCCCCTGCATGTCAGTTCTGGATATTTCGGTTGGAAAAATACCCTTTCTCCGAGACACATTGTACAAAGCATGCATCTCCAGCACCGCTGTCTCCCCTCCACGTCTTTGTATCATCTGCTTGCTCCTGGTACCTTTTTATATAAAGATATATAAAAATGTATAATAATTTCCTAACTTGAGTTAAGAGAAATGTTTTCTTCTATCAGAGTGAGAAAAAACTGGCGTACACACTTTATACCAGCTCTTTCCATACTCGAGGCTACAGGATGTCCACTAGCAGCGAGGCCGATGTCTCCCAGATTCCGTGGAGCACGGTCTTGGTTTAGGACAGGAAAGTCTTTTTTAAATGCTTAAAACCACCGGCCAGTTTCTGACCGAAGTTATACCATTCAGAATTATTATGCTAAGGCACACTTGTGACACCGGAAGTCTTACTAATTAAGATGCATTTAAATATAAAGTAAAATCATGTAACATTTAGTTGCTGCCGAAGGATACACACACTCTATCAAGTTTGATTCAGTGATTGGGTACTTTTTAAATATGGAGTGTGCATTCTTAGAAAAGACATTTTAAAAACCAGAATTACTGTAAGTCTGCTTACAAACATTTTCAAAACAGCAGAATTCTACAGAATTCTGTCCTTCAAAGAGCAAAGCAGCCTGGTGGGTCGCAATTCAAACCTTGTCACTCAGGCCGACTTCACAGACCCAGCAGGTGCATTACTCACATGCATCCCTCTTAGGAACTCAATGTCATGTGTGTCACAAAAACAAATAAATGGAAAAGAAAAGAAAATTTTAGTGTTAGAAAAAGTAACGAATGACCTTAGCAATCCTGTATAATCTATATTTAAAAAAAGGTCACTCTCCACAAATAGTCACTCCAATGAATGTGATAAGGTGGTGAATGGAAAAAAAAATTGACTATAATAAAGATATGTTTTTATTTTGCTACCTATTTTTATACACATTGCTTATGTTAAAATTTAGCCTTTCTAAATGGACTTGACTGATTTATTAGCATGACTACTTTTATGCCCTTTAATTCAAATTTAATGCATCCAGAGACGATTATTTTTGGAGGTGACCAGCCATAGTTTATATTCCTTTATTTAGACATCAGCATAGGGCCCTTTACCCTCAGAACGAATCATCTCAGATAAGTGTGGTCTGCACACTGACACCCTTTAGCACAGCAAATAGGCAGGAAATAAGTCAGGCGAGCCCTTTGCCGTCACCCACCCCAGGGCCGTCCACCGCCTTCCTCTCCTCCGTTTCTTGCTAAATGTAGAGAATGCGTCTGATTCGCTGCGTCAGCGCTCGAAAGATATTTGCCCCAGAAAACCACTAATGGAGCCTTAAATCAAACAAACAAACATCCAGCTACACCGACTATAATGATAACAATGGTCTGCTTGCATATATTTAATACACGACAGCCCCGTGGGAAATTAAAAATGTTTCCCATGAAGAATAGGCCCCTTCAGCGGTAACGCTACAAAGCATCTCCCGGTGAGCGCCGACCAGTGGGAAAGGCGACGGTGGCTTTGCCGAGGCCGCGAGCGGGGGCGGGCTTTGTCCCTGGGTCACTTCCATGCCGGGCCTGGGGTGTGGGGGGCTCCGTGACACCTGGAAGCTGTTCTTTGGATGCCCCTGGAAGAAGCTGTTCAAAAGCCAGTCTTGAAAATCTCTCCATACAGTAAAACTCCTATTTATCGACTACTCCAGACCATGTCGCCTGAGTATCAGCCTTGGTTTACATTCGATGGGCGGACCCAGGTAGGTAAGGAAGATGTTTCCCAGCGGCTGAGCTGTTTCAGTGTGATCCAAGTCATGTTAGTTTAAGAAATAATTATATTTTTGATAAAGTGATTTCCAGTATTACTTACACAAGTGCTTTATTAATTCCACATTTTCAATAACGTAACCACACACTATGTGAATTGTTAAATAGCTGTTTTCATTTTATTTCTCTATGTTCCACTTCCCTTTCAACGTCTGGGAGGCATGTGGTTACGGGAAACGCCTCTGAGGCCCTGAATCGAGCTTTTTCCTGCCGCCCGAGTGCCCCGGGGTTGCCTCATCCAGGTGGGTGTGCTGAGTAGGAAATACCTGCGTGGTTTTTCTGCACCTGATTTTACACACATGCCCTTTCACGCCTCATATTGCACCATAGGCATGCGGCCTTCGATTGGCACGATTAACGTTCCTTTGATTGGATCATCAAGAGGTGGCTATGAACCAAATCAGAGGCCGACGTCTCCGGACTGACAAAGGAAAACGGTCCTCACTGTGGAGACGCTGGCTTTTCTGTTTCGAATTATTTCTTCTACTAGAAGTTATTTCAATGGGTCTGCCCCCGTAAGCTGTCCTCCTCGGCGTTTAACAAAGCTAGGTCTCTGGCATTACCTGAATATTCGCCTAAGCTGTTACATCAACTCTTCCCACATTTTTTCCCGTAGGAATGTGGGTTTTCCTCAAATTGGATACGCTTTTTAAAAATCTCCATGAGTGGATTTTCCTTGACCTCAGACTATTATAATAAATTGTAAAACACAGTGCTGGTTTCTGTTCTGTTTATTAAAGTAATAGCAAATAATTTATTGGTGTTTTGATGATGAAATAAATAATAGCATTTGACCTTACCATGAAGTTTATATAGTGTAGTTATGAAAATGAGTTCTGTCAGGATCCAACTCTGGGGGAGGGCATAGGTTTAATAAACAAACTCTTTAAAATGATCTGAATCCTAAATGTATGTGGTTTGAAAAGTAGACTTCAGTTTCGTCCAACTTTTCTGAAGCCAGTTAGTGCGTTTCCGTCTCATGTTTGCTGACAGTCCTTCCCTTTGCCCATTTCTAGCTACCTCACCGGTGAAACTCAGGTCCCAGCTGGAAATTGTTAAGTAGTTAAAAAAGTGATAAGACTTGAATTAACTATTAACTCTTCATTTAGTTACTATTTCCCATGCCCCCTGGAAAGGTCAAATAAAGTAGCAAAATAAGTTATATTGTTGAAATAACCAGAAATGTGTTTTTTATTAAAAGTCCTGTTCAATAAATCTGAGGCCCTTTGTTTATACAGAATTACTCTGCTTAATTTTATTATTGAACTTACGGATTTCTGTCACTGATTTTTATTATTTGCATACATGAGACAGGGTAGTGATGCCAGACACTCCTAATTTCTTATTGTTTTTACCCTGGCCTCTGGCCCTGTACCTCCTTGTGTTATTAAAGAAGCGAACGCCCTCTGACTATGTCTTCAGTCCCTCGAGGTGCAAATAATAGGCTCAGCCTGCGTCAGATGCCTGCCATTTACTAGGGGTGGTTCCAGAAGGTTCTCGTTCCTGCACCAGTCTTTGGACAGCGGTGTGTTCACTCAATTGAATGAGGCTGGAATAAGTAAAGAAAAAATCAAAATGTGAAGAAAGAAGGCAGTTAAAAAGGATAACTGATGAATACTTGGACATGTAGAAATACCTGTCTTGCTTTTCTCCTTCCTGTGTGCCCTAGTTTATCATTTCAAGGCGGTGGCCGACTGGCCAGCGTACTAAGGGCTACCCCAGAGCGCCCTTGGAGTGCCAGTCTCTCAGCCACCGAGCCATTCTGTGACCAGCAGCGACGGCACTCGTCGTGGCCGTGGTGGTCGTCGTTATGGCTCCGTTGTACATGCGAGAACACTGAACAGAGCCTCAGTCACTTCTCCAAGGTGGCCCCACAGGGAATGAACCCAGCTCTCAGCCCCAGCAGACTCACCAAGAGCCGGCCAGTGGCCCGCCCTGCAGTGTCCAGCGTGGCACGTTCCCCTGCATGTGACAGCCCTGCAGTGTGCGGCGTGGCATGTTCCCCTGCGTGTGACAGCCCTGCAGTGTGCGGCGTGGCATGTTCCCCTGCGTGTGACAGCCCTGCAGTGTCCAGCGTGGCATGTTCCCCTGCATGTGACAGCCCTGCAGTGTGCGGCGTGGCACGTTCCCCTGCGTGTGGCACAGCCCTGCAGTGTGCGGCGTGGCATGTCCCTGCGTGTGACAGCCCTGCAGTGTGCGGCGTGGCATGTTCCCCTGCGTGTGACAGCCCTGCAGTGTGCGGCGTGGCATGTTCCCCTGCATGTGACAGCCCTGCAGTGTGCGGCGTGGCATGTTCCCCTGCGTGTGACAGCCCTGCAGTGTCCAGCGTGGCATGTTCCCCTGCATGTGACAGCCCTGCAGTGTGCGGCGTGGCACGTTCCCCTGCGTGTGACAGCCCTGCAGTGTGCGGCGTGGCATGTTCCCCTGCGTGTGACAGCCCTGCAGTGTGCGGCGTGGCATGTTCCCCTGCGTGTGACAGCCCTGCAGTGTGCGGCGTGGCATGTTCCCCTGCGTGTGACAGCCCTGCAGTGTGCGGCGTGGCATGTTCCCCTGCGTGTGACAGCCCTGCAGTGTGCGGCGTGGCATGTTCCCCTGCGTGTGACAGCCCTGCAGTGTGCGGCGTGGCATGTTCCCCTGCGTGTGACAGCCCTGCAGTGTGC